GGGGGAAATAACAAAATATGAATGATATGTAAGAGATGATATATATAACATAAATATAAAACAGGTGTGTTTAAGTCAATTACATAACAGAATAATAAAGAACAACAACCTGGGGAAATAGTGCATAAATAGCGAATGTCATCGAATCAGTTTGGGTGAAAATAAATAAAGATATAATAGTTCTGTCATGAGTTAAATTCGCGTATCAAGGGGTTTGGCATCGTATGTTTGAATTAGAAATGAAATAGCTGATAGCTCATTGTTGTTGCTTCTATCGACGTGCAGTTGATGTGACCAAGAGGTTCTATTTGAAAGAGAATGTTCGACATTTTTTAAAGGGAATCTCTATGATAATTTAACTTGACGTGTCAATTGTTTTTTGTTTTGTTTTTTGGAACGTGCATTGTCTGTAACCAGTACATCCGGAGATTTTAATTCGCAATGGCTTGTTATGTCATGAGGGTGCTAACAAGGTTTTGGAGATGTTATCATTAATGTATTTGTTGAGTCGTGGGGAACCCACGACGGTCACATGACGCCTAGTATAAATTTTCAAAATATTTTAACATGTTCGACTGAAGGCAGCTGTTGGTAGCCGTTGCATTTCTAATTCAAACATGTAATGGCAAACTCTTTGATATGCGAATTTAACCCATGACATTTCACTCAATGAAACATCCAATGCAATGCAAATGCAAATAAATGCTTTCAATGTAACGTAAATACAGAGCGTACAGTAGACAGGGACAACAAATAATATCAGTATGTTTAATAAACCTTATTGTGCAAAGTAATTGCTTGCAGTTTTATTTTTTAATGTTTTTTGTTTGTATGTGTCGGCATCATACGTTTATACGATACTGATCACAACTGCGCATGCGGCGTTTACAATGTGACCTAACTGGTGCAATTATCTATGCTAATTGTGGTCCATTCAAATAAACTGGTTAATTTTGCTTCTCTTCAAAATATTTTTTCTTTTGCATCTGAAATATTTCTAATGCTTTTTGGTATATTTGTATGTCATAGTCCAAGATTTTAAGTATATCAGGGTCTTTTTGTAAATTCGATTTTATTTTGCTCACGTACTTATTTTTTTTAATGTCCCTGTCCTTATCAGTAGCTTTCACGTTACCATACTGGGTTACTAACAGACTTATCCCGTTGCACATATCGTAAAATGGCAAACCATAGACTTGCTGAAATAACTGTAAGGAGATCTGATATTCATTCAGGATGCCTATCACCTCAAACCAATTCTTTAAGTTGTTTAAAAAATAGTGTAATAATAGTTTTTTCTCGCTTTCATCCATGCTATCGAGTACAAGTTTATGTCGAAACCAACATGGTGGATTTGACGGGTTTGTTCCATTGTATTGTATTTTCTTCATCATAGGTTCAATATGCACTTTGAAGTAATTTTCCGAGCAAATCTTTAATATATTAAATTGCATTTGACGGAATACGTAGCTTCCGTGGTGGTAGATCCATTCTTTCAATGTCATCGCATCGACATTTGTGGTCATGCACATCGGGTCTCCATATTTCCCTTTAGTCTTGCAGTACGTGTAACTAGATATATATCTTTCCAAAGGATCTCGTAGTATTACAAAATAAGAACATGAAGAATCTTGTAAAATATCACATCCACCAAAAGTTGGATCTTCGTTGAAAATAGTATGAGTCTTACTCTTACTCTTATTATTTACTGTATAGAGTTTCCGTCTGCTATATGTCAATGACCCGCCCAGATTCAGAAGTTGTTTTTTATACATAGTGCTCACGCATCCTTTCAGTGTAGACCCTCCGGATTTCGGATGATGAACATACACAACATTTCGTCCCTGCTGATTAGAGACGCCACTATGCTCGGTCAGAAAAAAATTGGGTTGCCAATATTTTCTCTTCATCCAAGGGTATTTGTGCAATACTTCCTCCAAGTTTGCGTTAACAGCGTGGTGGATATTAGAGTGTTTTTCCACGCTTGCATTGCTAACAGCATTGTGCATATTCGTGTGTTTTTCCAAGCTTGCATTGCTGATATCGTGCACGTGGTGGGTATCCTTATGTTTAGGAGCCTTGTTGTCTTTACCAGCTTTCTGTCGATCACTGTAGGAGAAACCGAAGTAGTGTATTATGTTATTAGTGAATCACATGATTATATTTGATAGCTTCATTAATTAATATAGTTTAAGGATACAAATAACATACGTCCTGGATCATACGATGACTTGAATACAACAGTAGTACTATGGGATGAATAGGTCTACGATATCTTTTCTATTTTTCTACTTATTCTAGAATAGTAGAGATGACTACAAATGAATACTGAGTTGTGCAAATACATCAGTGATACTTCCAGCACGTTTCTCATTTATGCTATAAAGTACGGAAGAACTTTAAGCCATGTAAAAACACTCTTTATTGTATATCGGGACAAGGACAACATACTGGGTCGGCAGCTCTAGGGCTAGCTGGACATGCGAGTGTTCTGATTTTTTTATTTTCACTGATATATAAATTGAAAACTACTCTCGCCCCACAAAAACAAAGACATGTACACACATTCCTCCAAACATGATAAAACATTGACTATACTGGAACTTTTTTCAGACCAGTTTCGAAAATGACCGACTAGAAGTCATTTAGTTTTTAACGAATGTTGTACGTTCCGAAGCCATATCTCTGACATGCTTTGACCGGTCACATTCACATTCGTTTCATGAACTAATCCAAATGTTAAAAAAACACCATAATTGAGCATTTCTGCCATTCCGAAAAAGAAATAGTTCTAAGAATGATTGATACCATTTCATACTGTTGGGCATATTGTTTTAATGGTTGCC